TGGCAAAACAAATACTGCCATCAGCTGGTTCCCTAGTAAATCACATTAAGCCTGTGGCAAAGAACCTTGGTGTTTGGTTTGATAGTAATTTAAATTTCGAGCAGCACACCACAAAGCTTGTTCAATCATGTTTTTATCAGCAAAAATTTTATCTATATTAACTTTTAAGGACACCGAGACAATTTTACATGCCTTCATCTCATCACGCCTGGATTATTGCAACAGCCTTTTCACCTGTTTAACCCAAAAATCTACTGATCGACTCCAGACTGTCCAGAACTCAGCTGCCAGGCTTTTAACCAGAACAAAGAAATATGACCACATTACTCCTATTTTAGCTTCATTACACTGGCTCCCAGTATGTTTTAGAATTGACTTTAAAATTCTATTGATCACTTTTAAAGCTCTTCATGGCCTCTCGCCTTGTTATATTTCTGAACTTTTAGTCCCATACGCACCAGCACGTACCTTGAGATCCTCGGGCAGAGGTCTGTTGTCTGTTCCAGAGTCTCGACTAAAAACTAAAGGGGACAGAGCGTTTGCTGTCAGGGCCCCGAGGCTCTGGAACAGCCTGCCCGAGGAAATCAGGTCGGCTGAGTCAGTGAACTCTTTTAAGTCCCTTCTTAAAACATACTTTTATAGGAGAGCCTTTCCCGATCTTATTTGACTTTATTTTATCCCTTTTATTTTATTGTATTTTACTAATTTTATATTTATCTGTATTTAGTCTTTTCAATGTTTTCATTCTTTTATCTTGTATTGTTTTTGTATTATTGTCTCTTGGGTATTATTGTCTTTACACTTGTTAAAGCACTTTGTAACTTGTTTTTGAAAAGTGCTCTACAAATAAAGATTATTATTATTATTATTATTAGCTGTTTGGCTTTTCAATAGCTAGTTAGCTGATGCTAAGGCTAGCATCTCTTCTGATAGCCACACGTTGCCGTAAGTGCTGCCCTAGAAGCTAAAACTAATGTGAACAGAGCGGCCTTCACTTGAAAGTGATGCATTCTGAGGCAGCTGCCTACGGTATCAAGGCAGCGAGGCAACCGCCTTCCGTTTTGAACATAGCCATTGTCAAACACAGGAGCTCTTTGAAAAAAACGGTAAAACGGATCAAATAAGATAAGCCCCAAGAGCTGGGTTCTGTTTTAAGTGTACAAAATTGTGAATATTTGACCAAAGGAGAAAAAACATAGGGTCAGAAGCGTAGGAAGACAGAGAAAAGCAGTGACAGTCAGAGAGAGAGAGAGAGAGAGAGAGAGAGAGAGAGAGAGAGAGAGAGAGATATGGAAGTTATATTTTGAGGAACTACAGTATTTTTGGTTGAGGTCATTAAGGGCTCAAACAGAGTTTATACTGTGAGATTCCTTGAACTTAAACTGTGTACTGTGTCTGCATGTTGCCGTAGAAACCTCGGACACATGGATTTGATGTGGTGTGGGGCTTGAGTTCATCTGCATTTTTGTGATTCTTGATTTTATTTTTTATTTAAAGATATCATCATATTATGCTCATTTTCAGATTCAAAATCCTATTTAGTGGTTGTACCAGAACAGGTTTACATGGTTTATAATTTATAAATATATATATTTTTTGTCATACTGCACATTGCTGCAGTTCCTCTTTTCACCCTGTCTGTTGAACGCTTCATTTTAGCTATGGAGTGATACATCTTGTCTCTAAATGATTTTTGTTGGGAGTTGCACATGTGCAATTCCTAGTTAAGGACTGCTAGCCAATCAGAAGCAGAGAAGGGCGGGTCAACCGGTCAGCCAGTAAACCGCTTCAGTTCAGCTGTATATCCCGTATGCAACATAGACTGGAGTTTCAGAGTGGTGAGTTATTAATCTGTAACAAAAGTATCTTAAATCCATAAAGTTATAACTGAGCTCTGTCTCTACATCACAGTAACAACTTATCCATTGACTGTCTGGAGTAGCTAGTGTTTGGAAGGGAGAGGAGAGGTGTGTGCTGCAGCTCAGTGTTTTTCCTCCGGTGTTTTTGAGGACCTGACGGACTAGCCGCTTGGCGAGCGTTATGACGCGCATTTTGCTGTGATGTCACAGGGATGAAAGGGAAACAGATGGTCTACAAACAAGCTGTTTTCAGGCAGTTCAGAGCAGAGTTTTCTGTGAGATGGGAACTCCCTTTGGGGTGGACTTTGGGCTTTTCACTTTGCAGACCTTTTACATGCACAAAAAAGTTACAGAAATCAATAAAGGAGAGGGAAAAGCCAAAAGCATTTCATGAAAATCCTGGTGTCCTGGATATTTTTTAAAAAATCTAAAGAAGCTATTCTGATTTTTAGCTGTTATTTGATGTTCTATGTGACTTCTAATGCTTATACATATGCAACACATTCTCACTCCCAACTCGTCATATTGATGCTTGGTCAAGACACCTTGGCGTTGTTTTCAACGCCCTGGGTACCCCTTTAGCTTTGTTTTTTGAATCTTAGTGCCCTGCAGTCAAGTTAGCAATGGTTAGCAACAATAAATATGCAACTTCCGGTTAGACTTATAAATAAAATGTTAAGAGATGGTATTATGCTCATTTTCAGGTTCAAAATGTTAATTAGAGGTACCAGAACAGGTTTGCATGGTTTAATTTTCAAAAAACACCATATTTTTTTTTGCAACGTCTCATGTTAAAGTTATGAAATGTTTCAATTTAGTTAGGTTTAGGCACCAAAAGTACTTGGTTAGGGTTAGAAAAAGATTATGGTTTGGGTTAAAAAAACAACGTACGCCTGACTCTCTTTAAATACTACCTTTATCGTACAAAAGTGACGCTACAGGGTTTCCCGCACTGTGTTTCGGATGTCCCAGTGTGTTCCAAACTGACGCCGACGGGTCTTGACCATGCATTCACCCCCGGGTTGGGGGTGAGAATGGGTTGACATATGAAATTCTAAATCTACTTTCCTGTACATTTTAAAATGACCTCCAACTCAACAAACTGCAGCACCAAAATGCTGCTTAGACATTCAAGTAGTATCAATAATAATAATCCAATAATATAATACAGTGTAATATATAGCACTTTGACAGTGGTCATTCTGTATTATGAGTACTTTTGCTGATAATACATCAGTATCTAAAAGACTATTATCTAAATATGTTTTACATTGTGGTATTGCAACTTCTACATACAGGATGAGAAACACTAAAAAGACACACCATTGTACTGGCTGATTTTACTTCATTACAATGAACAGTAGTTTATTTTGAATTACACCATCCTGCAGCTTTTATTATTATTTTGAAAGTCCGTTGCTCACTGACTCTAAATACACATACTACAGTCAAACCATGGGTCACAGTTGGGGTGGGATGTTGATCAGCCTGCAAATCACCCACCCAAACGTCACCCATGACATCATTCTAGAGCAGCTGTTCCCCAGCCAGACAGAGCCGCGGTGTACGAAAAAGCTCCACAAAAAGCCATTATAAACATGTGGCTCTTCTCTCTACCTTGCTATCATGTGCTCAAAAATTCCCTTTCTTACACCGGAAATCCACCAGACCTCGAGCTCTCTTCTGAGTTATATGCATGCTACTTGTGTCTGTGCCGACATAGTGGAGAGAGAAAGGTAGGGAGTTGTGTGGCAGATGCGTTACAGCGCCAGAAACCGAAATGAAAAGGACCCTAACACTTAATATTAATTTATATATTAATAATTTGGGAGAAATATGACCCGTGAGAGGACAAACAAAACAGGAGTCTCCCGTGAAAACTGGGAGGGTTAGTATGAGCTAACCGAAGCTAACCTCTGTTGCTCTGTTTACTTCTGCACGACAGCATGCTGCGTGTGGCGTCGTGTTATTCTTCTGTGCATGTGGGTCACTTTCAGGCCGTGGAGAGTACACACTGGATCTAATATGGGCCACATTTAAACAATAATGTGAACAAACAAAAAAGTCGGACCTCTGAAAAAATTTGGAATTGAGCATTAAGGCCGCAGTCTGAACGTAGCCAAAGTGGCCAAAATCCGAACAGGAAAAGATCAGATTCCATGTGACTTGGCCGGTTCACACTGTTATAAAAAGATCAGATCTGAGTCACATTTGGGCAAAAAAAATTGGATTTGGGTCACTTTGGCCTGCAGTCTGAACGTAGCCATAGACAGGGTAGGGAAGGTAGAAAATGTTTATATTAATATAAACACATTATTGACAGGTCTGGGTCTTTTCATGGAATTTGTTGACAACAAGGGTGCAGCCAGGGTAAATGTTTTCACAGGAGCTGTTATATATAATGACTATGAAAGTGTAAATCTATGTAAATACAGTATCTCTTTCTCTCTCCCTATATCTGTCTTGCCCTTTAGCACTTTTTCTCTCAGATAGAAGCGATGCCTCCACTTCAACTATGTCTGTGATGCAGTCTCTTCCCCTCTCTGTCCTCTGCACTCATAAAAGAGGAAGCAAAGGAACATCTTTAAATGCCTCTCTGTCTCTCCACTGCTCTTTCTCTTCCCCTTTCCCCTCTGATGATAGGGTGGGAGAACATCTTCAAATCAGGGTCCCTCTTTCTTCTTTCCTCTTCCTGACAAATCTAATCTCCCTATCTGTTCCTTTGACAGCCTTTAAGAGAACCCTTTCTCATCCTCCCTCCTGCCCTCCTTCCCCTATCCCTCCATCTCTCCTCTACTGTCGAGTGGACATGTGAGAAAAGAACAGTTGCTAATACATTGTGGCATTTTACCGACAGTTACTAGATCCTCCCTCTCTCCCTTCCTCTCCTATCAATTTATCTATCCCATTATCCCATTGCTCTCTTTTATTGCCAATTGGAGGTAAAAAAGTGAAAGAAGCATTTTACCTATAATATTGCTCTGTGTCAACTGATGTTACAAAAAAAATTATGAAAACTTTAAGCTGTGTCCTAAATAACAGCTCATGATTCATCACCAGCCGTGTGTGTGTGTGTGTGTGTGTGTGTGTGTGTGTGTGTTATAGTGTGCGTGTTTGTCTGAGTGAGAGTGTACATCTCACCAGCAGTGAGTAGTAGACCTTGAATCCCGGCTTTGCAACAAAGTAATCATCAGACTTGAAGGTCACTCTGAGAGTGTTGGTTTTGGAGTTGAGGCTAGATGGTGCCTTCTGCCCACACCAGCGACCCCAAATTATAGTGCTGGTCTCTGATTGGTCCTCCACTTCAACAAAGTCATACCTGGAGCGGGAGACAGAGCCAAATAGAGAGATGGAGAGTTGCATTAATGCATGGGAGGGAAGTGGGAAAGATGAAGGATAAAAACTGCCCATTTTAAGAAAAGAGAAAAGGTGAGACTTTGAAACTTAAATATATCATTGGATCAATGTGTTTAGTGTCTGTCCTCATATGGAAAAAGCGGTGATAAACTTAGGTCTTTTTTTCTGTTTTTGTGTTCCTTTTATTTTTTGCTAATTACAACATTCACTAAGTTCTGATATTTACCATACAGTTTTCCTGTGCAATGAATGGTTATTAGCTTCATTTTAGGTGTGTTTTCTTTGACTAAATTAAGGCTGGAATGTGAAATTTTAGGAAAAATGCTAATTCACTTTCTTGCCAAGAGCTAAAGGAGAAGATCAATATCACTATCATGTCTGTATGCTAACTATGAAGGTGGAGCCTGTAGTTCAGCATAAAGACTAGAAACAGAGGGGAACAGCTAGCCTTCACTACAGTTTGGTTTTGTATGGATTAAAAAATCAAGATATAATGTGTTAGTTGGTGAGCTTTAAAGACAGCTGTTTCTGACTGTTTCCAGCTTTTATCCTAAACTAAGCTAACTGGCTTCTGGCTCAACCTTAGTGCTATCGATCTTCTCATCTAACTCTCGGCAAGAAAGCCAATAATCCATAATTGCAAAAATGTCAAACTGTACCTCATGGTGGTTTAGAATATCTGACTAAAGTGTTGCCTTATTTACAACCTCTTTGATCGTCTTACTGCTTGTACGCTTACTGCTTATTGATCGTCTTACTGCTTTTTACCCCGTCAGACTTTTCCATATATCAGTGACTACTTTGGTGAATATGTTATTACCATAACCAATAAAAAATTATGGCCACGAGACCCAACTTGTAATAAAAAAGATTTCCTTTAACAGCAATGTATTGGCCTATATTTAGGTCCTTTTGACACAATTAAGTGACGCAGTTTAGCTTAATCTTAGTCTAAAGATACTTCAGCTCTAGTGATCAAACATATGATGATGATTAACTTCAATAACATTCCAGCAAACATTGCCCCAAAAAGCTACCTTCTCCCTCTTCCTACCCCCCCCCCCCACCCCCACCCCCACCCCCCCCACTCCCCCTTTGCTGCTACCCATTGTCTTTTAGCAAAGTGCTTACAAAGACAGCTGAGTTGCATATGCGGATTAAAAACTCTATTTTCTCCCCTCAGCCCACAAGGACATATGTCTAATACTTCTTGCCAAGAAAGTAAACCTTAACAATCCATCTCCTTCATAGTGATCCCTGCACTTTTTTACATTCTTTTCTCTCACATCTTTTCAATCACAGTTTATTGTTGGTGTGCTAATGTGCATACATTAACAAATCATTTTACACATATTTTACTGTTACTGTCCTTTCACCTTGAGAATTCCACTCAATAAACTTTTCCTTTCCTTTTTTTGTCACTCCAAACAGTCCTCTCCATCATCTCTTCTCTCATATTCTTTAATCGGTTACTTTCATCTGACTTTTCCCCTTTACACTCACCTGTAATTCATCAACGCTATATTCCTTTTCTCATTCAGGTATTCTTTCCTTTTGTCTGCTGTTCTAAAGGCATTTTATGCCTGTTGACTTCTCCATCTCTTTTTTTTCTAACTTTCTGTGTTTTACCTGCACACTCCATTCTCAGCCTCCTCCAAGCCAAAGTGTCCATCAAACTCCAGGTGAATGCGACTCCCTGGTGGTGACAGCAGTTTCCATGACAACAGCAGATTCCGGGGGTAAGAGTTGGGGTAGCGTGGGCTGTGGATGACTCCACCTGATGGCGTTACTGTGGCGTTTTCCTCTTTGCGGAACAAGTCTGTGGTGAGGCGATTGTGTCTGTTAGTGGTTACAACTAATCAGTTAGTTAGTTCAGTTGTAGATAAATATAATCAAAGCAGGTTGTTCATAGACACACATACAAAATTTAATACAAAACGCTTAAGCTTTTCATTTTACTCCTGACGAAAAGTGTATTTCCCAAAGCGCTGAACTATTCCTTTAACACTGTCCTGCCTAGTGTGGTTTGTAGCGATTGAGTTTGTACTACGAAAAGAAAACACCTGAAGTGCAGGCTCACCTCTGTCATGAGTCTATGAAGGTGAGAGTCCAATTTTGGTTCTGGACATCGTGAACGTAATGTGTTTTTGAGAACGTTTATGGATATGTTTGCGTATATCTGACCTTAGTCTGACCTTTTCACACCCAATAGATTTTGATATTTCTTGTGGAAAAGTGGAAAACTTTGCCTGACAGTGGTTTTAGAAAAGGTCAAGGGGTCAACAAAAAAATTCAGATTCATTCTCTGACAGTCATGAAATTTGAGAGGAACACTGGTCAAGGACTGATGTGTTGGTCAAAGGGAAATTAGAGATTCGCCAAAACTGGTCTGAGCTAAAAACTGTACTGTACTTGTTGACACAGGAAATAAAAGTGTGTATGGTACTGAATGTGCTGAAGCACGTAAAACATGTTGGTTTCTGAGTAGGCTTAGAGGTGTGCGCAGTGTCTTTCTTTACAGGGAAAGTCATTACATTGCTGTGCCAAATCTGCAAATATGCTGCTTCCAGACTGTCTCTCTGCTCTGTCTACTTCACTAGCTCACCACAAAAACATGCAAGCACACACAAACCCATGTGACATATATGACAACATCTAGTGTACCTACCTACCTAATACATTTCAAAAAGAAAATGAATAATCTGGTAACTATTATCTGTTATGGGCTCTTGTATTAGCTTTATTACTTTATTGACTAATTAAATAAACTATGATGGCACTTTCTAAAGTCATGTATAAAGTATAATAATTGCCCATTAGTATTGATGAATGTCATAATCCCACCCACTGAATGTCTAATCCTGATTAATCGTAAAGAAATTTTGATACTGCACAACAAAACTCATTAAGTGTCCTCATCATTTTATTGCTGACTTCCTGAAAATTAAAAGAAAATCCTTAAACACTGTCTCTAAGGTCAGGCTGGGTGCGGAAGTAGGCTGACAGGGCTGTATTTTCTGAGGGTGTGTGTTTTTGTGTGAGAGAAAAAGAGCTGAATGCATAATGGAGGCACTACAGCCTGCACCCTTGAGAGATGATGATGAAGCTTTGGCCTTCTTCTCCAACTCTTCCCTGCAATCCTTTAATTCCTCCTCCTGTCCTACCCCATCGCTCCCTCTCTTCTTGCTCTTATTGTGAGTGTGTGCGTGTTGGTGCAGAGTTTGTTTGTAATGCAATTCTTCCACTCTGCTGATCAGAAGCCTGACTGTGTAGGTCCAATCAGTCATGAAAGTGCTTATGTGTCAGGAACTTTCACCCACTAAGGTCACTGGGGAACAGAGCTCTCTGCGTGTGTATGGTCATGGGAGAATTTGTGTTCATGTGTATATGACCATAATCAATTCAATGTATATGGAGCATTTCATTTTCACACATGCACAGCACCACTTTTTGAAAGCATTTATGTTTGTGTTCATCTGTCTCATGGAACAGTTGCACTTTTATTCTAAGATAGATAGGTAGCTCTTGTTCACTCAATACTGGCTTCCACACACATGGATCTAAGGTGATGTCCAGATTTTTTTTTACACTCGGACTCTATTTTTAACATACACAACAAATGAAAAATAAGCAACAACCACTGTTGTTAACAACTGTTCAAGATCCTGAGTCTCACTATGGATGTATTTCACTTTGGTAAGTGAAAGCTCTTCGCCTAGCACAAACCTTTGTTGAGATACACAAAGTGCCCCATCAAAGTCTATAGTCAGTGTTCATAGGCAGTGTTGTCACAGATTGCCGCTGATTGGTCTTGGGTGTCAGTGTGGAGACAGTGTGGACATTCGGGTAAGTATCATGAGCCTAGCTTTTCTCACCAATGCAAAGATCCTTGCTGTCAGGTAAACAGAAGTGGTCAGTGCAACACAAGTATATCAAAAGAGACATGATTGTCTTCAAACTTCAGTGCACACAAGCCAGTGCGAGATGATTTGTATGATATAGAGAGAGAGAGAGAGAGAGAGAGAGAGAGAGAGAGAGTGAGAGTGTTCGTTCACACTCAATGTTTCAGCACTCTTCTGCTGAAGATTAAATGACAAAGAATTCTTTACAGCTTCAAGAACTGCTGCTGTGTAGCCGATCCTGACCTCTGACATACCTTAAAGGGGGCAGGCAGAAAGAGAATATATCACTTTCTTTAACCAGTTCTAGAATATTCATGGAGTTCAGTATTTCCTGTTTCTGCTCTTGTAGTGTTAACGTACAGGAAAATTGTTACTGCAGCAAAGCAACAACAGACAGAGAGTTCCATCTTGCAGTGAACTAATTCTTCTGAAAGCCAACACTGGCGTAGAAGCCAAACTCCAGATGTCTCTATTTAATTTGGTTTGATCTCTTTATGTTGATTTTATTGTTTAGTCCTGGACGCTGAAAACTCAGCTATCCAGCTGGGAAAGAGACACACCCATCTCTTGCATTTCTTTGTCCAGGGGAAGTTTGCTGGGAATGTAGGTTAAATCCTCCCAAATTTCTTGGTTGCTGATTGGCTAAACATGCAGTAGTTGTAGGCTTATCATTTTCTCCACATTTTCATCCATTGTGCACAACAATAACAGTCTACTGCCACTCATGTTGTGTGTGTATGTGTGAGCATGTTTGTGCATGTGTGTACTGTAAGTGTATAAATGAAAGTGCATATACTATCACATGATTTAACAGCCCAATCCCAATGTCCCCCCAAGCCCTAAGCCCTGAACCCTCACAGACTTTACTGACGTCACTTGGAAAGTGACTGAGTACAAGAGCCTGCAAGGGCTCAAAATGCTGTAAACAGGAACAGGACAGCACTTTGCCACATTATCACGTTACCTTGATGACGCTGAAACACGTTGGACACTTTTTATTTTATGTTTTTGCTTGATTTTTAAGTATTGCAGGTTCTTGTCCTAGAGAGTTGAGGAGAGGTAAATGTCAGTCTACATTTGTCAATAATCAATGCACTATTGTTAGTCAAAACAACATCACTAAGCAAAAACTAAAATAAATAGTTATAAACTAAGTGTGTAATAAGGTGTTTGCATTCCTCTGACCTCACGTGTTCTAGTTACCATCTTAAATCTATGTTAAGATAAAATTCCAACAATTTTAACATTGGCGTTGGTGTCCATGCTTGTTTGTTTACTGTTCTTCTTCTTCTGTTAAAAGACAGTTCGGTCGTGAAATTTCTCTCACTTTCCGGGTGTCTCCTGGTAACCCCCGTGTTTCATGTCATACCGCTATGGATGAAAGTCTGCAGAAATGCGGACTTACGAAAAGGGTTAAAAAAGGCTTCAAAATGTCCGCGAGAGAGCCCTCGTGCACTTGACAATTTGACAGTGGGACAGCCCTAAGCCCTCACGGACTTCACAGGAACTCGCCTCAAAGTCTATGAGTCTGTGAGTGTGGACATTGGGATTGGGCCAACGTGTCCACCCATGCTCGGAGGTGTGTGTGTGTGTGTGTTTCTGTGTATGTGTAAGAGAGCAGAGTATGAGTGTGTAAGAAAGGAGAATGAAAGCATTCAGAAGAATAAAAACACTAAAATGAGAAAATATGTACTGTACATCTGCTCATGCAGCACCCGGCTCTTTTGAATGAAGTTTCTCAGTCACACCATTGACCTTACTATATAAATCATGCAGTGATGTCAATGACACCATTGCACATTCATGTAAATGATAAGAAAAGAGGTTTAGAGATTGGTTAGAGACCCAGGCCAGAGAATTTGAACTGGCAGCTACATGTCGTCACACTGCTTTGTATAAGAGTCTAAAGATTTGATTTCAGGTTAAAATTCTGAAATGGAATCAGGGCTAGGCTTTTTGTTTAGCTCTATAATATACCACACTGGACTTTAAATTGGACTATGCTAACTTTTAGATTTAATAGTGTTTGAGGGTTTTTACATCTTTATTGGATGAATACCGCAGGTCTAATAGACTGTCTTTACACAGCCCCCAATTTCTATGACAATACAGCACTAACATTGTCCTTTACATACAGGCAAGTCAACCACAGGTATGGCTAAACAGTCATGTCAGTCACCTCAAACCACCAGAGCATGTGTTTTACACCTAAAGATATGGTATCTTCCCTAGTGATGCCAAGCCTGTACTTTGTTCATTTATATTCGGCTACAAATGCTACACTTGCTTATTTGACATGGATGTAGACACCCTCAACTGAGCAAAGGCAGTACTCCAACCTATTGTCCAATTTGTGTCACTGTCCAAGCTATCACTGCAGGATAGGTACGGGATGAATGAAATATATTATTAAAAAGAGCCTGTTGTTACTGATCTTAACCATGCATGTAAAGGCATGTTCTTCCAGTAAATCTCCATAAACAGCACCAAATAAAGTTTCAGTTTAATTTGTGTCTCTCACTTGCCCACTCTCTTGTTCAGTCAATCTTCTTGTCAGTTACACTCCAAATGCTGTTAACATGAAATGAAATTGCCATTGTTTACGCAAATCTGCTCTGTAGACAGTAACTCTCACTGCTGCTCTGATGCAGGATGTCCCAGCATCTGGTCTGTGGTTCTTATAATGGGAAATAACAAAAGAACAAAAACAAAACACTTTTAGTTTCCACTGCATCAAGCTGAAGCTTTTTTCTTTTTTGTTTGTTTGTTTTACTTTAGGCATTTTTCAAGGCTATTTGGTCTTTCATTTGGTCTTTGGTCTTTGGTATTTCATTAAAATAATAGTTAAAATACATAATAGCATTTCTTTACATTCCAAAAGCTATATGGGCTACATACATGTGTCTTTAAATAGAAA